CAAGGGTGGTCAGACCGTAACAAGAGGATCTGGGCCGCAATGCCACTACTCTGATGAACTACTTTGAGAGTCACGGAGGTCGGCCTTGCGGTGAGGCGGAGAGCCCCTATGTGCTCATGTGTCTCCTTCTATGTGAAGCTGACAGTCTTTTAGCACGGAGTACATCCTCGATGTTATTGGCGCGGGTGCGACTGCGAGTTCGGACATCAACTGGTACCACATGTGGAGGAAGTCTCAGGAGGCTCAAACGTTGGTGCAAGACCTTGACGCCATTCACGCCGAGGGTCGTCAACGCCCACAGTGCGTCCACCTTCATCATCGCTGAAGCCATGCAGCTAGAGTATAGGACAGAACTCTGCATCGTACTTCCTCGCGGACCTGAACAACGACTCGCTGCAGCGTACCTACGGCATCTCCTTCCCCGACAAGCAGCAGCCGTTGAATGACGCCGAAGGCGCATGGCCCTTCATACGACCGTCGCGGAGATGACCGTGACATTCGAGGCTGCAGACACAGTTGGCTGTCCGGAGCGGTGGCGACATACAATCAACATTCGCTGGCATACACCTAGGCATGGTCTTCCCAGTATGACTTGCGAGTGATTCTTGATGATGACAACTCATACGGCCATAATTGCCTCCAGTTTTGAACGGATGCGTGGAGGAAATGCAGCGTATACCAAACGAAGTATGTCGCTCAGCCCTGAGGGTTCAATTTCAACCACTGATGTCAATGATCCTTGGGACTACCATCCGTGCGAATCAACACTTACTACTTCATCTCCCGGACATCCTGCGGAACCTAGGGCCAGCACCATCAATTTGGTGCTTCGGCTTTGAACGTGCAAATTACATATTGCAACGAACAAACACCAACAACAGGATGGGTAAGTACGATTACTTCAACTTCTACAGAGGTTATTAAAGGCATTCATCTAGATGAGCTTCCATCCACTCTTCTAACCAGCTTCTGTGTTTCCGTGCGGTATAACTTGGCCGTCTGTTGACTAATGCACGGGCACAAGCTCCTGCAGTACCGTGTCACGCCGGTCCGGGCATCCTTCTGTCCTCCACACGTTCAGTTCACGTACGTAGCTTCTCGACAGGTTTTCGCATTGTTCTACAATTGTTCTTTTTCCACTGTTTCCCTATCATAGCGAACAATACCGATCAAGGTTATTGCTCTACAATTGATTGTTCTTTTTCCACTGCTTTCCTATCTTAGCGAACAATACCGATCAAGGTATGTTCAGCCTATTCAAGCGATCCTCATCCACTATAATTCGATGTTCTTTGGCACGTTTCATGCTTCACCTCCTCATTCAACCTTTCTCGATTCGTGCCCACAGCATCTGTCGCCATCCAGTCCCAGCGTTGCTTCATGAATCGTGGCACGCGTAAAGGCGTGCGGCCTAAGAGGCTTTCACCATCTATCAAGAAACAGAGGAGATCATCTAGCGGACACATCGGTCTGATACCTTCTGTGTCGGACACCGACTCTCAAGGTACGCATGGACATCTACCTGGACTAGAGCAAGGTAATACTCAAGGGGATTGTTACGCACCCGACGCAGTCCACTCTCTCCAAGCAGCTCCAGTTCCTGAAACTGTACTTGAAGATGGGGATGCTGATGGCGACAGCTCTCGAGATCTACTCGAGGCCACGTTCCACGGTAACTACTGCGGTACAACAGTATCACTTACCACTAACTTCATATTTTAGGCAGCAGTACTCAGATGACAATCAGCAGAGCGCGTAAGCGCGTACGCTCAAGGAGTCCCGTATCAGCTATCAGGAAACGCAGGAAGCTGCCTCGCGGACACGTCGACCTGGTACCCTCGGAGTCGGACACCACTCATCAAGATACACGCGTGCATCTACTTGAACTGGGGAAAAGTACTACTCAAGGAGGTTATCACGTATCCGACGCAGCTCCATCTCCTGAAATCGCACTTGAAGAAGGGGATGCTGACGGCGACCGCTCTCGAGATCCGCCCACGGTCAGCTCTCTTCCTCCTGGGGAGAACACGTTCCATGGTAATCACTGCGATAGAATGCTATCAATTACCACTAACTTCGTATGTTAGACAGCAGTAGTCAGCCGACAATCAGCAGAGCGCGTAAACGCGTACGACCAACGAGTGC